TTTAGAAATGCTTTTCCACCTGATAGGTTTTTAGACACGTTAAACATTAAAATAAGCATGGAATTTTGTGCCCGCTTATTAATATTGCTGTTGTAGCGTTGTCCACAAATTTTTGCAACAAGAATTTAAATCATTTTTGGAAATTAGTCCCTATCTGTTCAACCATCAAACCATTTGAGTTCAGATAAAAAGAAACAGCAAAGAGCAACGTAAAAAGTGTATCGCGTAGCATAAGAGCCGTAAAAGAGAGTATATCAAGAAGTTTATGGCTGTCCACAAACTTTTGCAACAGAGTGTATGCATAAATAACATAAACAAACAAATTCAATAATAGCTTTTCCAGGTACATGAAATATAGAATTGTATGCAATCCGATGACCACAGCAGTATATGCTATGAAGAGATACACGTAATCAGCTATAGGTCCATACTTGATTTCATAATCCAGTCGAATTGTGAAAGTTATTTCTTTTGTGTAATAATTGGCCTGGTCATATACAGATAAAATGCCATTTTTCAGGTTAAACCTGAAAAGATGCTGTGGTCCAAAGGACATTTTGATTGAATTGGTGTTGTATGTTTCTTGTAAATCAATCGTATGGTTGTAAATTTCTAGTGTGTTGATGCTATTGGTCTTAAATTCTTCATTGTCACATTTATTAAGAAGTAGAAACCAACTAAATAGCATGTTCATTTCAGGGTATTTTGAAATATTTCAATTTTATTCCTAAAATATGTCCACAACACAAAGAATCATTAGTTTGTACGAAATATTGGATGATTCACTAGCTGAATACGAATTATATACGAATGAAGAAACAGAAAGCCAACTATTTGCATTGTTGCTTAACAATATGTCAGCTGCTGAAAGAAAACGAGAGGATTTTTCTTTCAAAAATGAGGTTGTTTGTAAAATATTTGAATATCTGAATAGAAAGATAGGAAAGGCACGAACATATGACATACTGAACAGTTGTCTGATAGTTAAAAGCAGTGAGACAACCAAGGAAGTCATTTGGGCTGGATCAAATGCAACTGTAAAAATGGAAGCAAATAAGCAATTTGTAGACAGATCGTGTCTATTGAATCCAAAGCAAACTAATACCAGCTATTTGGCAACATTCAAAGCCATAATAAACACAAAACAATACCATATGATGAAAGAAGTTACATACAACATGCAAAAGACTATTGATTTGATTGAAAATAAGGTACGTGAATTTGTGGATAAATTCAATACTCTACACACGTGGCAGATCTGTAAGATGTGTGTGAGAAGCTCAAAGGAAGCAGAATACGAAGAGATGGTCAATTTTCTATTCTGTATTTCCAAGAAGTGTCTGAAGGGCATCTTCACATTCAGGCAATTCAGAATATTGAAGGGGAAAATAACACTGTTTGTGTACAAGAATAAAATAGAGAACATGAGTGCACAAGAATGCTGTAATCATATTGACATGAAGAATGTGAAGCTGTTTACAGGAAATAGGTACACAAGAGAAGAAAACATAATATGTTCTGCGATGTTCCAGAACTTTATGATAACACTATTTCAGCAGTTTTATACACATTTGATCAATAAGCATTTCTATGTCACAGAGATGTCAGGAAGAGGGTTCAGGTTGCTGTATTTTAACAAGGATTGGTACCAAAAGGAGACCAAAAGAGTCTGTGAGGAATTTGTGAGTAGCTGTAAAATTGAAAAATGTAGCTCGAGTAGTCAAAGCTATGGAAGTATCAGGGCGTTGCGTAAGCAGGATGGATTCAGGATAATTACGAACTACAAGAAAGTCAATTATCCATTCAAACCAATAATTGGCATTTTCAGAAACATTCTAAGGAAGAAATATGATCATCTGATTTTTGGAAACAGTGATCGAATCAAAGAATTAAAGGAGCATCTTGGTACAAAGACCGAGATGAATTACATCCATTCATTTGATTTGAGCAAGTGCTATGATCGAATAGATCAGCAGGTTTTAGCTGAATGCGTCAATATGCTATTTCAGGAAATAGAGAGCAATAGCGACTTTTTTGTAAACAAATGCATAAAATATACATTTGATGAAATAAAACAGAGATACAGACATCAGATGTGTTACATTAACGGCCCAATAAGCGACGGAAACAACCTAATTAAGGAGATCAAGGCCATAAAATACACAAAACAGGATATTAGTGAAATAGTTTTGTCTGGTGTGTCCAATCACTGTATAAAATACAATAACGAGTTCTATAGATTTGCGCTTGGCATTCCACAGGGTATGACATTATCAACATATTTATGTGCATTATATCAGGCAAATCTCGTTGAAAGACACTTTGGCTTCATCAATGATGGCCTACTATTGAACTATGTAGATGATTTTCTATTCATAACCAGCAACAAGAAAGAGAATGATGAGTTTCTTGCTAAAATAGAGAATTTTGATTATGAAAACATGTTGCTCAATCACAAGAAAACTCAAACGAACCAAGAATGCGTAACTTGGTGCGGATATAAAATATACAACAGTGGATTCAACATCAAATACAGCTATGAGACAGTGCATTTTGGCTACAACTTTGCACTTCCTACACACAATCCAGGTAGAAATATTAAAGAAAAGATCAAGAAAATTCTTCAGGTCAAACTGAACAAGCTGCTGATTTCCAAGAAGAATCCCAAGTGCTATGAGAACATATACGACATATTTCTGTATGTGTTTGGTGTATTGGGTGTGTTATTTGGGAGATGTGAATTTGTGAATGTTGGTTTTGTACGGAAGGTAATTGATGAAATTGTATTACAGGTTAAAGAATCTATCAGATGCAATAGCCAGTTGATTGATAAGATGGCTGAAGATGCACTCAACAAAACAGGCCTTCTGAGCGTTGAGCCCAGAAGATTCCAATAAATTTGACAGTTTTTACCCCGATGAGTAAAACAGCACCGACAAAAATATGCGAATTGGAACATGTTTATAAGAGAAATGGAGTACTCTTTGAAGTCAATAATGAGTGTACATTACTTGCTATACTATCAAGTACATTTAAAACAGTGCACTTAATAGCTATTGAACACAACAATGGAATAAAGTTGCGATATCAAAATGTCATAGAGGATGTTCTGATAATAAAACAGAAGCTGTATGTGATAATGCTGAATAATTTCATCGAATACAATCTGCCACCATTTGATTCCTTGAAGGACTTCAATATAAAGGGCGGTAAAACAAGAATGTTTCCAGGACTCAAATTCATTTATCCATTGGAGCCAACTAAAGACGGTGAATACAATTTCATGTACATCTGTCACGAAACATACTACACTGGTTCACCAAATTGCCAAAAAACCAATTTCTATGAAACATATTACCTACAAAGCAACCACTTATTTATGGTAGGGCAGAATAGCACGACAGTTTACGAGAAGTTCAAAGGACTCGTGTACTGTGATATTGGAACACCTAATTATCACGCAGACATTCGCAATAACAAAATATACAAATTGATCACTGCTAACTATCGGGGAATGGGATTTAGGCTGTTGGGTAGAGATCTGAATCTGTACATAGATGATCTCTCATGTAGAAAGCACTTTGAGCCTTCGATCTTCCTGTTCTTCAAGAACTACATTGTGTTGGGAGATGAAGGAGGCCAATGCAAAATATTCGATAGAAGTCTACGGGACATGAAAGTCGACTTCATTGCAACTCAGCTGATTGCAAGAGGTGAAAACCTGTTCTATCTAAATTCAAAAGAAGTCGTACACATCAGGATGAGAAACCAGTATCATCTGCCATTCACTCGAATCGATAAATCCAAGGTGTACAGTGAGAAAGAGGACGAATTCGACCTCTCTGACTCAACGTACAGGGACTTCGATTAGAAGAATAAGGTTGTCCAATGTGTTACAATTCTGACCAGGATTCAGAAACTTTTTGAATGCGTGTATTTCACCCTTTTTGATTTTACAAAAGGAAATTTTTAACCCCATGAGCAATATACACACTGATAAAGCACACGAAATGTGTGATCAAACTAAACCTGAAAAGAATATGGACAGGATACTTGTGAAAGAGATCAGACTGGAGCAAAATAGCACCAAGAGAGATGATTTCATTGGGCTCATCGAGGCCGCACGAAGAATACACAAGCAAATCTCAAATGGCATCGAACCAAATCCAGTTGAAACAACAGAACAGCTGCTTCTGAGCTGTAAGAGAGCGAATATTCTGGAAGACCTGGTGAATATCGAATACTTTTTCCAGCAGTTGAGTGAGTTACATCTGCCTAAGAATACTCCCCAAATATACTTCACACAGCAGTACATAGAGTTCGCCTATGATTTTGGAGCCAAGTGTTCCAAGGATCTGTCCCTACTTGAGAATTTCAGAAACATCTTTGTGGATCAGCGAATAACAAATGACACCACATTCATCGAGAGCTGCTTCAGGCTGGTGTTCTACCTGAACATGCCTGTTTCAGTCAACTTCTACTTCATTTCATGTTACACTGGATTTGAGAAAAGGGCTTTCTTTGGTATCAGATACATCCAGTACATTAAGAAGCGTCTGATTGAGATGTACATTGTGGAAGCATTCAACAGGTACGAGGTATCCAAACCCAATCACAAACTGCACACTGCCAATCTTGATAGGCTGTGTAGCGTTTTGGCCACAAAAATAAACGCACTAAACGGGTGTGTTTATAAAAACATCCTAAGAACAAGTGAAATCAAGCGATTCATCTTCATATACCTCTATATGAAGTTGAATGAGAGTAAGTTTGTTGCAATGGACGAGTACAACGACGCTGTCCTCTTCTACACGCTTCTGTTGCATCACATCAAACAAACCATAAAGAATAAGAACAAGAACACCAACAAGATGCACACCATAAAGATGCTTCTTATGGTTGAGCTGAAGTGGGAGCTAAATGACAGACACAACAAGCATATTAATGATACAAAGGTGTACGAAGACTTCCTGTTTGAATACCAGAACACGGTTGCAGGAGTAAACAAGGTTAAGTACGCGTTTTATAAGCCAAAGTACAATTTGAAGATGTCAGGGGTGCTATGTCAGGTCTATAAGACGGAGACAGGCACGATCTACACGCGGAAGAAGGAGAATGTGAAGACGGAGAAGGATGCTGGGCGAGTTGGAATCAGTCCATTCAGTGGGAAGATATCGAAGATCGACGAGAATAACACAAACATTACAGCAAAAAAGAAGCTGGAATTCGAGTAAATTAATTAGGCAACAATGAGACAAAAACAAACAATTTTTACCCCAACAAATGCTTGAAAACAAGACAGAGAATGCGAAATACGGCATCACTGGCTACGTCAGCTTGAATAAGCCTAGCAGTGACTCCGTTAGCAAGTCTACGTGTCTGCTTGAGTTTCTAAAGAAGCACGACTTCTTTGAGGGTGAGGAAGACTTAAAGAAGAGGGAGCGTGCTCTAGGCAGACTAGACCATTTGTTGAAGAAGTTTGTTGAAGAAGAAGGCAGAAGAAAGGGCGAAAGTGGAAAAAGTAGTGGAAAAATATTCACATTTGGAAGCTACAGACTTGGAGTTCACGATACCGGGGCTGACATCGACTTGCTATGTGTAGTCCCACGTTTCGTAAGTCGAAAGGAGTTCTTCGACCTTTTCTACGAGATACTGAAGCAGGAAGAACAAACAGGTGAAATAACCAAAGCAGAAGATGCCTATGTTCCAGTCATAAAAATGGAATACATGGGAATACCAATAGACCTAACAATGGCACGAGTCAATCTCCCACGAGTTGATTCATCAATAAATTTGTTAAATGATAAGCTGCTACGGAACATGGATGAGAAGTGCATTCTGTCACTGAATGGATCCAGGGTGACTGATGCGATGCTAAACCTGGTACCAGATTGCGAGACATTTCACATGGCATTGAGAACAATCAAGTTTTGGGCCAAAAGACGATACATTTATGGAAATGCCTATGGATATTTTGGTGGAGTTGCCTATGCCATTTCGGTAGCGAGAATCTGCCAGATGTATCCGAATGGGTCTGTGTATGATGTGGTCTGCAAATACTTTGAGACATTTAGTAGTTGGGATTGGCCTGCTCCTGTGATATTGACGCCAGTTGTTGATCACCAATACAATTTAAAGGTCTGGGACGCCAAGAAGTATCCAGCAGATAAATATCACAAAATGCCTGTGATTACGCCGGCGTATCCATCGATGTGTGCGACACATAACATATCGCAGAGCACGGCTGATCTGATTACGCACGAGATTCAACGAGCTAAGGACATTGCAAGTGAGGCAGATGGAGACATGAAAAAGTTCATCACAATTTTCAATAGCACCGACTTCTTTAGGAAGTACAAGTTGTACGTGAATGTGAAGATAGAGGCTGATTCGGAGAACATGAAGGCGTGGATTGGATACGTAGAGAGCAAGGTGCGAGTATTGTGCAACAAGTTGGACACAAACAGTCTGATTGTGGCTACAATTCCATTTCCAAAGGCATTTATAGGAGAAACACAATGCAACTTCTTTGCAGGAATAAGCGTGTTGAGGACGTCAAATGCGAGCAAGAGAGTCTACGTAGATGAGCAAATCAGGTCATTCACTGACGTAATAAACGGATGGGCTGGGAAGAGTGGCGACATGAAGATTGAGGTACGTAGTGAAACCAAGAAGGGCGTACAGGCATTTATTAAGGAGTACTTTGATAAGAAGTAAATTTATAGGTGTTTGTTTTGGATAGCGTTCATTCGTTTAGAGTTGTTCCTAGAGTTTGTTGACCAGCTGTTTCTTCTTTTTCATTTCTTCGAAGATGGTCTTCAGACCTGAATCAAGAGAGTGATATTCATTCCATATGACCACCATACCATATAAGTCGTAGATAACAGCGATTATAAGATTCATAGAGAAGTCGTAGTCTGTATCATTGTGGAGCCCATATACTATGACATTTTCTATAGTCAGTGCAAAATCAAATAATATTATGATCATTAGTGTGGTTCTTTGCTTCTTGTATTCCTCATTGATTCTGAAATTAAGAGCACCGAGAATGATCACATATGTGACCACGTAGAGCCAATTGAATATTTCGGTTTCGCTAAGTGAGTTGAGATTTGCCTGATCACCTTTCATTGGAACGTGCTCTGTGTAGACGTATTTGACTAGTAGCATATAAATTGCTTGTCCAAGCAAAATGCTGTATCCGATACGCAAGCCAATGAGGCTGTTTCTTTTTTGATATGCTTCGATGATTTGTGCGTCTTTGGTGAAATGTGACAATTTACAAGTTGTGATGTACCACAGTTTGGTGTAGAACTCGAATGATATCGTCATTTCGTACGTCATTGTCGTGAAAATTAGCAGAAGTAATATGATACACAAAAGCATCTTCTCTTTCACCAGTGCAATCAGTGTTTGAAAACTGACTGAAAGTATACCAAGGTAGAACATTGAGAGAATGATTAATGTGCTTCTGTAGGTTTCAACTTTTTCAGTGATTAGCGTGTAAACAAATCCACCAAACACAAGGAAGTTCAAGAGGAATACGTTTTCAATTCCAATTACGATCTCTTCAACCAGGCTATTTGGTAATATTCTATTCAAGGACAACCTTATAACAAACAGTAGAGTGTTCTTCACCACAAAAAGTTGACTGTGTAGTTTGATTCGCGACTGGATGTTTTCATGTCGATTTTCGTAACGGTCCATAGGGCAAAATAAGACGAGACTAAAAAACGATTTATGAAAATAAATACTGGATGTGAACATAAAAACAATTGAAAATGTGAAATTTAAAAAAAAGTGTAAGAAAAATATTTTGAATTTTTATAAAAATAAAGATTTGTCAGGTTGGATTTTACAAAAAAGTATAAAGAGAGTGAAAATGAGGAACAGTGGATAGGCAAATGATACTTAAATGGTGTACAAATTATAAATATGCATCAGGTTATCACCTTCATGCTTTGAACATTACGTTTAACAAATTATTGAACCCTAAAATGTCAAGATTTTTTCATGTAAATGGAAATGCATTAGAAGAAAACAAGAAGACTGATAAACACATTGAAGAAAAAGAAACTCAAGAGATTCTTAGTAAACAAGATAGAAAATTAAGAGAAATTGAACAGAAAGCAAAGAGTTTGATTGAAATGACCAATGCCAAACAATTTGAGAAAGATTTCAGAAAATTCATTCAAGATCTAAAGAAATACGTGAACAAAGGAAGTGCATTGCCTGATATAGTACAGGAAGTATTCAATAAGGCAAGTAGCAAACAATCAATCAAACTCATTGATGAATTCAATAATTCGTTAAAAACAGTTGAGGAAGAAACACATGAAATCAGTCGAAAAGTAGAGATCAAACCAAAAGAACTTACCTTGTCAGAAATACTTGATTTAGAAGATGAATCAGAAAAAAGAACATTGCTAGAAGAGAGAATAGATAATATAGAGACGTTATTACCACTCTATAACATCTATGCAACGAACAATGAATATGGTAAAATGATCAATATTCTAAAAAGAGTGAAAACATTCAAGTGCAACAAAGCAGAATACATCAAGAAGAATATTAGGAAGTATATTCATAAGTTTATTCAGCGTGATGATTACTGTGATGAATTGCTTGAGTTATTTGAGATGTACGATTTACAAGATGAAATACTCTATGTAAAATACTTCAAGCAGAACAAGATAGTTGAAACAGATAATGAATTATTCAAGATGGTGTATGAAATCAAGCAAGGTAACACTGATACTATTGATATCAGTAACTGTAACAAACCAGATACAATGATAGAGTCAATTGTATATGAATACCTGGCAAAAGAGCTGATTAAGAATGTTGATTATGAAAAGGCATTATCACTGTATGAATTATTCAATGAGAGATTTGATGATGATAAGCTTATTCTAACACTACTAACAGGTAGAAGAGAATCAGAAATATTCAGAACATTTCTAGAGGAATTTAAAACATTTGCAGAGAATCCATTTCTGTTGAAATCAGGTGATAGGAGAATGGAAATTAATAGAGCATTTTATTTGATGAATCAGAATGTGATGAGTATCAGTAGAAGTATCCTAGTGAATCTCCTGAATAAGTAAACCAAATAATATTTTTAACCCATATGACCAACAACAATCCTGAAGAAGAGCAAAGAGGAAGAGGGAGACCTAGAAAGTATCAACCATCCTACGTATTCAAGGCACCTGTCTATAATTCACCACTAGGCTATCAATACACATTACCAATTGCATCCAATGTGAATATCACATTGGCAACTGCTGTACCAACAACAGTTAGAAGTAGAAAACAGTCAACTGTGGTACAATCGGAAGAATACATTCTTCAACCAAGAACAAAGAGATCTGCTGCAATCAAAGCAGTTCCAACAACAAAGAAGAAGAAAAAGACAGCAAGAAGTGATTCAACTGAAACATCAACGACTAATTTAACGTATGAGTCCAATACGGCTGAATTGGAAGATGTTTATGAGAAATTGCTCGATAGAAAAGATGGACAATTTCTGGTCAAATTCAGAAACAGAAGTTTCTTACACTGTGATTGGGTAGATGAAAACGAGATTATGCAAACTAAAGCAGGAATAATAAAAGTGAAGAAATACAGGCAACCTGAAATAATTCCAAAAGAATACACGAGTGTTGAAAAGGTATTAGCAGAAGGAGAAGATGATGAGAGAAAAGAGACAGTTCTAATAAAATGGTGTGCTTTACCAATAGAACAGAGTACAATTGAATTAGTTGAAGATGTGAAAGAGTGTATGAATTACACAAAT